GGGGTCAGAGGCAGGGCCAGGTGCCATCCCTGCTCTGGGACCCTCAGGGCAGACGCCTCACCTTGTCAGAGCCAAACTTGCGCAGGAAGCGGTAGGGCCACGAGTAGAGGGCGTGCTGGCCTGAGGGCTCGTGCAGCACCACGGTGTCCTGGCCCAGTGCCAGCAGGTAAGGCCCCTTCAGCTGGCAGCGGGCTGCCGCTTCTGTCTTTTGCACCACCACTGGGAACTCGGCCACTGCAGGAGATGACCATGAGGGGCCCCTCCCATCATCACTGAAGCAGATGCTATGCCCTCTAGTCCCCACCAATCCCAGCCTCGGGTGCTTCCAGGCAGAGGCCCTGGCCCGCCTTGTCAAACTCACCTTCCTGCCAAGAAGAGTAGATGGAGTTTTCTTCCATGGGGACAAGTCCCCTGGTGGGAGACTCTGTCTCCCCTGTTGCTGAGGAGCATTCTGTACCCTGAGGCGGGCCCAAGGCTAGAGATTAGATGGAGCTCCCCCTATCCCATGCCTTCCCCTTTGCCTCCCTGGGGTCAGAAACTCAGGACTCCATGACAAGCTACCATGTGTGTCCAACCTCTGAGCCTGTTCCCCAACCCAAGAGAGTTCTCTGTGCAGCTCCTGGACCAGAACCTGTGCCTGCTGGAGGCCGCTCACACCGGGCCCCTCTTCTGTAACAACTAGGCCAGTCCCCCCTTTGGATATGTTGGGCTTCAGGGTGTTACAGATTGCAAAGCTTATGCAGAGGAGAATGGTCCCATAGGGAGTGGGCTGAGTTCTGTGCCCCTGACATCATGGAGCACTAAAGGGGCAGGAAGCCCTGAGTAACTAGGTCCTGAGCTCTCTCACCCCCCTTCTCCATGAAAACACAGAGAGCCCCTCCTTCTTCCATCCTTTCCCTTCCTGAACCTCCCGACTCCCAGCACCTCAAGCTCCCAGGCCCAAGGTGCCATCAGCCTGCCTGCTCAGATCCAAGAGCTTTCTAATTTGTCCTCTTACATCTGCTTATTTCCTTTTGTTCTCTGGCTTGAGCTCTCTGTAAAACTAATCAGAATCAACAAAATTACAACTTGGCATCAAGGTCCAAGGCGGTTCTATATAGCTCCTGTCAAACTCCAACATCATCTCACTATGCTTACCTGGCCTCGTCCTCTACCACACTGGTCTCGCTGCCCCTCGAAGAGGGGCCACATGAGGATTTTTATGGGTCTTATGGACTCTTTTTCCTATTTGTGGGTGTTTGGCAGATGCTGCTGCAGAACAAGATATGTGGGATCATAGAGATGACCAAGTGAGGGATGAGGTGGGCCCTGCAAGCCCTTGTGTGCTCACCGGGAAGGCCAGTTGGCAGATGGGGCCCATCCAGGCCTGGCGGTGCTGGGCAGCCAGCAGGTGGCTCCGCTCAGTGGTGGTGAGGAGGAAGGCCCCAGTGTCTCGGGGGCAGCTCTCGCCATCAGCGGGCAGCACAGACACACAGTCCGCTAAACGGATGACCCGCCGTTCCCCGCGGCGTGCGGACCTGTCCCCTGAAGACCCCAGGCCACCATCTCGGACCTCCCAGCTCTCCAACCGGGCCACTCCTGATGGGCTTCCCGCATATAGCAATGCCCACACCTTCCGCCAGCACTTCTGTGGGAGAGGAGAGACCATCGAGTGGCAGATTGTCCCATGTTCAGCTCAGCACATGAGACTCAGCACATGAGACTCAGCACATGATCCTGGCCGCTCCGGCTGGCCTCCTCTGTCCCTCATGGTCCCAAAGAAGGAGGACACCACACCCCCAACTGGCTCAGAGAAGAGTCTGTGAACAAGTTTAGTCAGTCCTGGGTTAAATCCTTCATCCTATCCTGTGATTGCATCAAGAGAACACAAAGTTGTGAGTGGTGCCCGTGAAGGCCCAAGAGGCACAGAGCTGTCAGGTGGTATTGGTCTCCCTTCTATAGAAAAGGCCTCTTGGCCCAAGAGCCAATGGGAGGGCAGCCCCTGTCTCATGATGGCAAGGAAGGAAACATGCAAATAGCTTAGAGCAAAGGAAACAGGCTGTTTTTATCTGCCTGGGCAGCAGCTGCAGCTGCGCTGGGAGAGGTGAACTCCCAGCCCGCCCGCTTCCCTCTCGTGACCTGCTGGAAGCCCTCCCCTCTTCTTCAGGGTGGGGCCTGATGGACCCAGGTCTCTCATCTTGCCTGACCCTCTCCAGCCTCCCTGAGGGCGCTGATGCCACTGAGGTGCCTGGAAGGGCTGTCAGGCTAGACCTCTGCCAGGACCCTATTCCTGCTCTTGGTACACTCATCTGTGAACCAGTCTTTTCACAGGCCTGGCCTCAGCCCCTCAAGGCCTGGATGACTCTGCTTCACTCTCTAGTACCTGGATTTGGTCCTCCCACCCCAGATCCCCACTTTTCCCACGGCCGGCCGGGTGCAGTGTCCAAGGTGGGGGTAAGGGGCCACATTCTCCCCACATTTGGACAGCTGCCTGGCGGTCAAGGGGTGCCCACCTTGCCGAACTTGATGTGCTGCTGGTAGAGGATGCCATCCTTGACAGGGGTCTCCAGAGGCTCCATTGCTGCGGCCAGGCCAAAGGGCCGCCACTCCAAAGGCCCAAGGAGACTGATGACAGGCTGAGGGGAACTCTTCACACTTCCCCTTCTGGCCACTTCCCCTCCCTCCGTCCAGAGGCAGCTGCAGGGCTGGGGGGAGGGGAGCCCTGTCTTAAGAAGAACTGGGACAAGCACTAGGGGGTATCATGTATTTTTTGCCCTGGAGTCTATGCTGTGCCCTGGTACCCACACCTGCCAGGAAGGGGCCTCAGACTGCCCAAGGGGAACAGCCTCAACATGTCCCTGGGTCAGCTGGGAGAGCGTCAGACCGCAGGCTGGCTCCCCAGTCACGAGTTGCCCCACCTTCTCCCTTGCCTCTGTATCCCCAAGGCCTGGCATGCCCAGGCCAGGTCCCACCCCAGTCCTCCGGCTTTCCTGACCCCTGGGCCTGCTAGTGAGCTTCACCCGTCCTGCTCTACATTTCCTTCCCTTGGAATTATTTCTACAAGTCACTGTCCTCACTGCTTCTGCCCATTGCCAGCCTCCAGAGCAACCCTTTGGGTCCTGCCCCAGTCCTTTCTATCATGGGCAGCCATTTCTCTGCTGCTTAAACACAGCCTTCCCTGGTGTCTCACTGACCTCCTCAGCCTGTCCTGGGTTTGAGGTTCCACAGACCAACCCCTTCATTGTCTGTTTCCTTGTGGTCAGATTTCCAGACTGTCCTCATTGTCCCAGAATACAACAGCCTCTACAGGGTACACCGTAAGGCAGGCACCCAGTCCACAGAGGAGGCTGTGTCCAAGTGGCCCAGCCTGTGGGTCCCCTGGAGAGGTGACATGTTCCTTTAGAGCAGTGCTTCCTGCAGAAGGCTGGTACTCTGGTTGTGTGTGTGGCTCTGCAGACCTGCCAGTGACCAGTGCCATGTTGGGAAGAGTAGGCTGAGGAACAGTCTGGGGCCACAGGTGGCACAGGCAGCTGCTTCAGGATACAGGGACAGGTCAGGGATACTTTCTCACGCCTCCTGGGTACCAGCTTTGTGCCTGTAGCAGGAGCCTATGCAGCTCTGAGCCTGGGCAGCCTGTGCCTTCTCACCATCACAATGGTGAGGAAAGAGGCTCAGAAAGATTAAGTAACCTGTCCGAGGCCATACACACAGTGGTAGACATATCTTGAGCAACTGCTGTCCCAGTGGGATCTTCTACATAGGCGCCTGGCCTAGTGGACCTGCCCAGGAAGTGGATGCCACGAGGCCCATTGCTCCATGGCCCTCTGTCCAGATGTTGAAATCTTCCATCATTTGTGGTGGTCTTGTGATGACCACCCAACTTATGAATTCTCTCACACCCGAGCTCCCCAACACTTGGGCAGTAGAAACCCAGCACAGACAAGCTGGGCAGAGTGGGGCTTGTGGTCATTAATTGAGCCAGGCAATGTAGGCGTTGGTGAGGTGTGTGGTGACTCGGAGTGCCTTCCGTTTTTCCTTAGTGAAGGCAATGGAGGGCCCTCCCCGGAGCCTGTTGTAGGTGGGCAGTAGGACCGGGCCAGGAAGTGACCTCCTAGTGGGCCCAAGAGACTTCATCTAACAGACAGGAAGAGGGAGGCTGGGGCGGGCCTTGAGCTTATGACTGCACCACGGCCACCAGGGAACCAACCGCCTCCCTGCAGCCCGCCAGTGTGGCTCCTGCTCTGAGGTATAAGCTCAAACTCAGGCAGTTCAGAAAGATACCTTGCAGCGTGCCTAGATGACATATATCCAGATTCTGATGAGCTAGTGCTGACAGGGGAGAGGGAGACGCTGAGGCCTTGCCTCCGAAAGCCCCGAGATTGGAGTGGAAGCCCTGTCCGCAATCATGGTCAGAGGAGAAAAACCAGAGGCTGAGTGGAGGCCAGAGAGGCTGTGCTTTAATGGTAGCTGGGGAGGAGGACAAAAATAGTGATTCTGAGGGCACAGGGAGCAGCAGTCAGGCCCCGCCTGGCCTCGCCCAGGCCAGCTGGGCCAAAGATGCTGGCGTCTAGTCCACAAGTGTGTGGTGGGGTGGGTGGGAGTGGCTGGAGCCTCTGGGTGAGGCCTCTTGGAGAGAAGGAAGTCAGACAGACAACTCAAAAATCCATGGAGCTGTGGGCCAGGTAGTCCTTGCGGCCGATGTTGCTGACCTGCTTGGTCTGCATTGCCTCGAGCTTGGGGCAGTCAGTGATCCGGTGGCCCAGACCCCCACAGAAGGCACAGCCCCGCTCTCCTCCAATTTAGATCTTTTAATGCTTCTCACAAAAATGTTCTGCAGTTTTCTTTGTATCTTTTGTGTCTCTAGTTAAGTTCAGTTCCAAATATCTCAATTTGTGTTTGGCTATTATAAAAAGTATTGCTTTCTTGGTTTCATTCTTTGAGTTCTCTTTGTTACTGTAGAAAAATCCTATTGATTTTTGGATATGATCTTATGTCCTGACACTCTACTAAATTGGTTTATTATCTCTAACAGGTTTTTTTGAGGGGTTTGTTTGGGTTTTTCTGTTTTTTTTGTTTTTTTTTTTAATTTTTTTTTATTTTGTTGTTGAATCCTTGGGGTTTTTGTTTTAGGTTTTGATTTTTTTTTTCTTCTATTTTGTTTTTGTGTGTGTCTGTGTCTGCACTATCATATCACCTGCATACAGTCAGTAATAGTTTATCTTTCTGCTGATCTAGGTGCCTTTTATTTCCTTCTCTTGTAATATTACCCTAATAAGTACTTCCAAACAATATTGAATAGAGTGGTGACAACTATGTTGAGGAAATTTCCTTCTACTCAAAATTTTGCTGACAATCTGAAGAGGATAAAATTGATGAATGGGACCTTCTAAAGATTAAATCTTTGTGCTTATCAAAAACTTTTTCCAACAGGGTAAAAAGAAAATATACAGACTGGGAACAAACATTTGGCAATACCATCTCAGACAAAGGTCTCATAACAAAAGTTTACAGAATACTCTTGTGCCTCCTGAAGAAAAAGACTGATAATCCAATTACAAACTGGGCAAGAGAAATGGAAAGACTTTTCACAGAAGAAGACTTGGGATGCCCAACAGACATAGGAATAAATGCTTAAAATCATTGACAATACGAGAGATGCAAATCAAAATGACAATGAGTTACCCCAGTAGCAGTGGCAAAGTTTAGCACAGCAGCAAGTAATAAATGTTGGAGAGGATGTGGCAAGATAGGAACTCTTATGCATTGTTGGTGGGATTGTAAAATGGTACAACCATTCTGGAAGGCAGCTTGGCGTTTCCTCCAAAAAGCTGAACATAGAAATTTCTTTTTTTTTCC